CAAGAAAATGTGTTCTTTCGAACAGTGCAGGCTGAACTAGTGCAGCGAGTTCAGTGAACTGACTGCCCTAGGTCTGGAGGTAGAGCAAGCAGTGCAGGGCAGCTAACCGAAAAAATTTAAATTTGTATCTATAACCTGTAAAATCGGTATACCTAGTTGACATTACGTAGAAGAAATAATCCGACGACGGAATCTATAAACAGTAAGTAAATACTTAAATATATAATAAATATATAATGTAGATAAATATATAATAAATATATAATGTAGAATGACATAAAAGAAGTATTTAGAATGTTATCCAAACAGCACAAAATATCCGAAAGACATCCTGGGAAGGTTCTTGGACGTTTTTTCGGAGGGATTTGTTGTATGGGTATCCAACACAAAACAGTTTTTAAAAGAAATAGGATTGTTCAACAAAACATAAAATGATATAAGTGCGAAAACATGACCATAAATTGATCTATGTTATTTAATCCAGCCATGTTGTCCGCCATTTTACACTGCTCTAACTTGCTCTTACCCGTTCTTTTCAGACCCATATGTATCTTTGCACTGGTCTGCACTATCTTGAACTTTCTTCAACTAGTACAGTTCCAGTCCATCACATCATCGACAAAGTCAGGAACCACCCCGTAAAAAGCCCGCCTAGCATTGGCCACAGCCTCCTCTGAAAAGATAGAGGAAAGGAAACCTTTCTTAGTGAAAGATCTCAGACCACTCCAAATAGCTCCAATATCCGTCTGAGGATTAAGTCTTGCGCAAAAACATTGGAAAGATGCAAGTCTAATAGCTCTGAGGCGTTTACGTATTTCTTTACATTTAACATTAAATTGTTTGAAGTTAAACAAATTAGGATGCTTTACAAATAAAGAAAAAAGAATCTTTTTTTGAGCTAATAAATCAGAACATTCTTGATCCCACCATATCGTGGGCGCACGCGTGGATCTAGAACCTTGTTTGCGAATATATCCGCCAGCAATTTGAATGTTATTCAAAGTTGATTCAACAAAATCTTCGTATGAATTCTCCCCAAGATTCAATGTGAGTTTGGAGGAGTAATCATTCATTAAATCCCGGAAAACCATCCAGTCAATACGTCCGAGAGAGATAGCCGGTCTACATGACGGTCTCAGGGCAGCAAAGCCCCTAATCGAGATCACAAGAGAAACATGATCCGATCCCGGATGATCCTCGACGGAAGAAACAGTGACCAAGCCGTCAAGACTCGAGGAAGCAAAAGTGAGGTCGAGAACATTGGGAGCAGTGCACTTGGACACGGTGCATTTGGACACAGCCAATCACAGCACCGTGTGATTAGAGACATTTGTAGGGTCCCTTGGAACAGCGACTTGTGATTCGACTGTGTCCAATTGTCCCGTGTCCAACTGATATACACCCGAGAACATTAGCGTTAGAGCTATTCGAGGAAAACCAAGTGTAGTAGCCATAAGTCAGGCACGTAAGATTCGACAAGAGAAAGGCTTCAGTAACAGCATTACCCTCGGGATTAGTGGCACAATTATCAAAAGGGTTCCAGACAGGATGATGTGAATTAAAATCTCCACAGACAATTATGTTAAGAAAGAGATAGCTGAGAAAAAACGCCCCCAACTGTTAGAAGGTTTGCTTTTGCAGGAGGATTATACAAAGATATAATATGTAAGAAAGAATTATTCATAACTACGCGGACATAACTGATGTCAGTGGAGTAGTTTTTAAATTCATTAAAAATAGAAATAATAATTTCAGTAAAACTAATGTCCTTATGAATCAAATTTTTAAGAAAGTTATTCTCAGAGGATTGGATGATTTTGATCTAGATCCTGACTTCATAGCTAAACACCTACGTCCAGCTCCTAACCATTTTGGTAAGTGGGTATATATATATATATATATATATATATATATATATATATATATAGGGTGTTCAAAAAGTCCCGGACCGGTGAAATATCTCGAAAACTAAGCATTTTAGAAAAAAATGTTTCAGATAAAAGTTGTAGGGTTTCAAAAGATCTATTTACTGATCTTATCAGTTTGACCTTGGATGGCGTCGCCAAGGTCAGATCGAAATCACATTAACTTTTTTAAATGGAACTGCCTACTTTTTATTGCATATTCTTGTAGCTTATCTCGAGACCTTTCCAAAACACTATAAACAAATGTATTTTCGTTAAGTATTTTTCGAGTTGTGAAGCTTGAAAGTTACAGTACATTACAGCTTTCAAGCCTCACAACTCGGAAAATACTCAACGAAAATAAACTTTCTTGTAGTGTTTTGGAAAGGTCTCGAAATCGGCAAGGTTAGAAAAATTCAAAATGACGGATCCAATATGGCGGTTGAAGGTTAAGGTCAAGGTTAAGCTCACAGCCAATGTCACCATCGAATAGTCTACAACTTTCCAAACAACAGTCCAAATTCGAGAAAATTAAGAATTTTTGTCTACCATGTTAGATTTGTCCGCCATATTGAATCTACCATCTTGAATTGATTTCAGATTCGAAATCAGCAACCTAAAAAACCCCCAGAAAAAAATTTTGGTGTTTGGGG